TTCAGAAACCACATACATATTTATAATGATCCTGCCACTCCCTGCTTATAATCCTTCTTCCTCGACAATGTCTTTCCATTACACTCAAAATAGAAAACAAATGCCTTTATCAGGTATAAGAAGTTCCATATGATCTGGACCCATAGATGTGGCTGTGAATTGACCTTACGCTATTTTTACTCTGGCACACATCAGTCTTAAAAATTCTCACATTCACCAACACTTCTCCAGATGGGGTGTTTGCATCCACCTGGTACTTGCTTCTCAGTGATCTAAGTGGCTCTTTCTTGGCGTTCAGGCCTCTGCTTAACTGTCAGCTTCCCTGAGAAGCCTCCTACCACCTACCATCTGTATGAATTCCACCACTTAATACTCCCATCCCTCTACCCTGTTTTGTTTCCTCTTCATAGCACTTACTGCCACCTTCCTATTATGCTGCTGCTTCTAGACAGATTGTTTGTCTACATCCCTTGATCAGAATGTAAGCCCAGCAGGGAAGAGACTTTGCTTACACTGCTTACTATATCAGTCTGAGTTTAATTAGGAGAAAAGGCACACAACAATTTGAGGAAGGAAAGTTCAGTATAAAGAATTATTGGGTTGGCCAAAAAGTTTGTTTAGCTTTTTCCGTATGATGGCTCCAGTAGTTCCTAGCTTCACTTGAAACAATTTTGTTAGATTGTATTGTGACAGCTGTCATATCAGCCTGCGTTTTTAAAAAAATCAAAATTTGTGGATTCTAGTGCAGTTATTTTAATATTGAAAATAGAAGAAAATATGCAACTTTTTATTCTTTATTATTTCAAGGAAGTTAGAAATACAACTGAAATGCAAAAACAAAAGATTTTCAGTGTACGGAGAAGGTGCTGTGACTGATTGAATGTGTCAAAAATGGTTCGCGAAGCTTCTTCATACTTTTGACATTGTGGCCAAATAATTCTTTTCTGTGGGGCTGTCTTATGCATTGGAAGATGTTTAGCAAGACCCGTGGCCTCTACTCACTAGAAGTTAATAGCAGGAGATAGCTGACATACTCAAAATGTCCAAATCAATAAAGTTATTGATGAAAATGAAAAACGTGTCTTTTATTTTATAGAAAAACTAAACGGACTTTTTGGCCAACCCAATACTAACTATACCAGGAAATGGGAATAAAGAGGGATTGGTGAGTGAGAGGTAAAGAGGACCTTAAAGAATATAGAAATGGCAGATATAAAGAGCAGCTGCTACCCCAATGGCTGATATAGAGGACTCAAGAAAGAGGGTCCCCAAGACCGACACACCCCTATGGTTGAAATCCAGACCTTGTTTGAGAGGACAAACAGCTGGAGCAGGTGGATCTGGCTCGAAATTGGCCTTCAGAAACTTACCAGAAATCCATACTCCAGAACTTACTGGAAATCCATCTTCTGGAGTACCAGGAAAGCTATTCAGGGAGATGTCTCATCAAAGGTACTCAGCTCCAAAACCACTTAAGGAAGCTGCTGGCTGCTACTGATTGCCACCTGTGCTGTAGGAGCCTGCTTGGCCTGTGTGTCTGAACCATGAGACAAAACCCTTTCCTCTTGTAATGTCTCTCCAATGCCCTCTATTGACAAAGCTTAGTAACAGCTGGCAAAGGAAGCTTTGAAAGGCCCAGATCCATTTTCACACAGCAGGCAAAGAGGATGCAATGGAACTGAGAGACAGTAAATAAAAATAGCCTAAATTCCCTTATTCTGGCATGTACATTATGTGCTCAGTAAATATTTGATGGAAGAATAAATGATGTATAACATACAACCTAAGTAAAAACGATGTGCTTGCTTGCATATATCACTTTGTGATTGGAACCTTCAGGCCTAGGTTCCAATATGAATGCTGTTGATAAGCTCCCTACTGTATGGTAGGGATAAAAGAAGACACCGACTGACTTCACATCTTGGCTCAACAGTTTGTGAGAAGCACAATGATCGAAGCACAAGCAGAAAGAAGAGACAAAGGCAGCCATGAGCTCCACTTTGTGTCTGGGCCCAGGCTGAGCCATAGGTTGCTCCACTTGGCATCTTTCTGAGTCATCACGGTGAGTTTATGTAGATCTGTCTTGTGGGCAAAATGGGAAACATATCCAAGTGCTGTATCTCGAACTGTATTTTAAAAAATACAGAAACATCTTAATTTCTCTAGCCATTCTTCTGTTGACACAAATTGTCAGGAGAGTTTAGGAAAAATGATCCCACTGCAAGCTATTTGGTATTTCCTAATAGAGCAAAGTTTTCCTGCTTTGTCCACTGACTCTTTCAATAGCTTTTTGGGTGCTGTTATTGGGATTCTCACTCCTTGTCCTGGGAAATGACTGCAGAGAATTTCAAGAAGTATGGCCCAAATGATGAGAAAGCTTTCTATATTGACACAATGTGGCATTTACTCAGAATACCACTGATAGATATTTACTGAGTGCCAACTTTGTGACAAACAACATTCTAGAATCAGGTTCTTCTCATGGAACTTAAGATTCTGGCTAGAACAGATAACATGTGCCTTCCTACAGAGGCACTGTGGGTTATTTAACAAGCTATTGAAAATCTCCAGTGGGAATGAATTTACTAACTGTAGAATAAAACATGGTCTTTGCTGGTGTTTTTAGAAAATTCACTGTCCTAGTGTAGAAATGGTATCATTCAGGTCTTCTAATTTTTGTTTCTTGTGAAGGTTTCAAAACAGTGCTGTCCAAAGGAAATATGTGACCCACATAAAGTAATTTAAAATTTCCCAGTATCTGGGTTAAACAAGTAAAAAGAAATAGACAATGTTACTTTTAGTAATATATTTCAAGCAGTTACATTTAAAAAAATTAAAATTTCAACATGTAATCATAAATTGTAGAGCTATTTCACTTTCCTGTTTTTGTACTAACTCTTCAAAATCAGTGTACGTGTACCTAACAGCACACTTCATTTGGGACTGGCCACATTTCAAGTGCCCAATAGCCATGTGTGGGGTATTGAACAAAGAAATTTATGAAAACTGCCCGCAGGGTCCTCTATCTCATAATTTGGAGATGGAGACGATATTTGCTTAACTGAAACATCCTCTGATCTGTAGTTCCAGGATTTCAGGGGAAAAAATGAGAGGATGTTGAAGACCACCATAGGCCTCTGCTTCAGTCCTCCATATTGCCCAACACAGAAAGAGGCTCACACAATGTACAAGATTGGATTTTAAGTCATTGTTTGATCTGCAGCGAGGAATATCATTAAGACGAATGCTTTTCCACTCATGATGAACCATCTCCCCCAACGTCTCCAGGTAAAGCAGGCAAAGAAATTAACGTCTAAAGCCCAGACCTTTAAATTAGCCAACCCCGACATGACTTTTTCCAAATTCTCCCCTCATCCAAAGGTTAGAGGCTTACTAGGAAAGGCTAAGAGCTGAAGGACTCCCCTTAAATCCAAGGAGCTGCCCCCAGCTGGATGAGGACTACGGGTGAAGGCCCTTGGTCCCCCTTCTTTACACCAGTCTTCCCTCACGTTCTCTAAGGATGCCCCTCCTCCAACGCGCCCGAAAGTTTCCTCCCCTAGCCTCTACCTCCTAACCACCCCCACCTTCCCAGCCCTTTCCTCGCGGTGGTCGACCCCTCCATCTTTCTTGGCACGCGTAGACCCCTGTCCGTTTCATCCGGGACAAACTGGACTTGTTCCTTCAAAAAGCAGGAAGAAGGGGGGCAATCTTTTCCCTTTTGAACAGGGGGAGGAAGCATCTAAGGGCGCGCACGGTTTTCTTCCCAGGGTCGGGGCTAGCATTCAAAGGACACTGCTTTAGCGGCGGCTAAGTCTGCGGGGTGCGGGTGGTCCCCTCCACAAAGTTTCTTTGGGAATCGGGCGACCCCTGCCCCGGGCCTCCAGCTTCTCTCTGAAACTACAGTTATGCCCCAGCGAGCCCCTGGCGCTACATCCTGGAGCATTTCCTTACAGAGTTGGTAGAGGAAGGCGGCTCGGCTTCGGGGTTAAGCGGCAATCACAACCCCCCCTCGGGACTAGGAGAGACATCCCTCACCACCCGCGTGCTCTTCCCTCCGCCCCGGTCAGCGTCTCGCAGCTTGGTCTCCGGCTCTAAACCAGAACAGGAACCCGAGTCCGCCTTCACATGGAAAATTATGCTGGCTCCAGCGGCGCGTAAAATTGATGTGAACCGAACGAAGTGGGATCGTCCAGATCCTCCCTCTCTTGTCTCGACAGGGGTTTCGGCGCGTTACACAAGGCCGAGCTTGTCTCTTTAAGGAGACATTGGACCCTAATTAGTCCGCATTCTTGGCATGGCCGCGGAGCGTGGGGCCGAGGTGTTTGGGTTGGAGAGGGGCGGGTGGGAGGATGAGACTAGCCTCCAATCTCACCGCCCCCTCCACCCTCTTTATTTTGCCGCCACCACAGCCACCAACACCCAGTTCTGAAGATGCAACCAGGGCAGCAGCAACAGCAGGAACAGCCCACCAGCCACTGCCACTTCTCCCAGGCCCACGTTACTTTGATTGACAGCTGAACAAATGTTTGCCGGGTTCGAACGCTCGCGCTAAGGAACGTCAGCCAGGGCGCAGCTCAGCCTTGGGCGGGCCATCTCCGCTCCGCCTCCGCGAACCCCATTCCGTTCTGTTCATTGGTCTGAAATACCACCGACGTCCGGCCCCCACGTGGGTTCCGCACCCGCCGGCTCCACCCCTGTGGCTCACCATTTGTCAGCAGAGAAATGATGGGCAGGAACACAGAACGGCGATTAATGTTCAGCCATCTCTGATTGGTTGCTGTAGACGCCTACTGCGCGGAGGGTGGGCGGAGCGCTTGGAGAGCGCCCCAGAGCGGTCGCTTGGCGGGCCGGTGGTTGTAGTCAATCTGGCCGAATCCTCAGTCGCGCTAGCCAAGGGGTGCACTACATCTCCCGGGATGCCCCGCGGTCCCTCCACTGACGGTTGTGAATATGTATCAGAATGTTAATGATTAGCCGATGCTAAATTTGGTCAAAGAAGTCACCTACACAGAGCGTGGTGTTGGAGCTGTTCAGAGCGGGTGTTTGGGCTGTTGGCTGTTGTCTTTCCCCCTCTCTCACACACTTGTATATTATTTTGAGGTGGTGTTCGCAGAGTTTGAAAGGGGAGAGAATTAAAAAAGCCGCACGCCTTTCACTCTTTTTATAATCCCTTTCAATTTGGGGTTAAAAAAAAGACAAGAAAACAGGAAGGAAGAAAAATAAGGAAATGAGATGTGGTAAAAGAAGCTAAAAGGTGCCTTTTAAAAGATCGTTGCTGTGAAGTGAAAAAAATCTCCAGAGAAACCAAAAAGCACCGCTGAGACCTCTTCCGAACCAAAGGAGTTTGTGTTTGCTTTTAGGAAAGAAGACAGATCATTCATTCGGAGGAATAGCAACCAATTAAAAGACAAATAAAAAAAGTTTGGAGTGGGACGCCGAGCGAGCGAGCAGGCGGGCGGCGCTGTCGGCGGGTGCTGGGGCTCGCACTTTCCCGGCCGGAGTGAGCGGCGCGACTGCGGCGCCGGGCTCGGCGGGTGCGCCTCAGCGGAGGAAACGTCGGAGCGTTGTTTGGGAGAGACGCGCGCCGGACAATGCCCGCGGCGGGCCATTGACGCCCGCAGGGAATGCGGAGCGGCCCGACCGCCGGTCCGCACCCAGTTGCTGCCGCCTTCGCCGCGGGTTTTTGCCGCCCGTATCACGCGAGACCCGGCGGGGGCCGGGACCGCCCGAGCCGCCCCTCGGACCCGGCCGGCTGCAGCCGCCGCTGCCTCCTCCTCCGGGCCATTAAACCCAATGAGCCGCGCGCCTCTTCCCAGCGCAGCCAACTAAATCGGTTTGGATGATTCGCGACCTGAGCAAGATGTACCCGCAGACCAGACACCCGGTGAGTGCGGGCGACGGGGTGCGGGCTCGCTGGGGGATTCCCCGCGTCGCCCCCTGCGCGCGGAGTTGTGTGTGGCTTTGGCCGCAGGGGTGTGGAGGGCGGCTGGCATCGCGCGCCTCGCTCGGGGAGCCTTCTGCCACCCCTTCCTTCCCTGTCCCTTCACCGCCCCCCCCCCCCCCGCCCCGGGTGCGGTGGCACTCTCGGAGAAGGTTGAGAGGCAATTGAGTTGTAGCCATTTTCTTATTGTTGTCTTTGAAGCTTCTGGAAGCTGTGCAGAGCCGTTTGTCGTCCCCGCGCCGCGACTCCTCGGGGGAGTGGGGGGGCGAACGATGAGGGAGGCGCGACTCCGCGCCGGGGCGGGGAGGGCGCCCTCCGCGGCGGCGCGGCTAGTCCGGCGGCGGTTCGGGAGTGCGGGGCGCTGGCCCCTTTCGCCGCGGGCTTTGGCGATGAGCAAGCGATCTAGCCAGCTGTTTAGCTGGAGCGGGTGGTGGCCCGGTTCCCCACTCCCCTGACCTGGCTGCTGCGCGACGCCATGGCGCGAGTCCCCCCGACGGGCCAGTTTCGATTCCGGGTGCGGAGAGGGAGTGGGCTGGGTGGGACGACCCCTAGGCGTTAGCATTTGGGGAGTGAGGGTAACGGGGTTTCGAACCCCTGGGGTCCGGATTGGGTAGGATGATGCTGGGGTCCGAGGGTACACGAAACCAGCCCTAGCCGGTCTGTGCGGCGAAGTGGGGGTGGCGGGAGGAGTTTTCATCGCTCTTTGCTTGCCTGCGCGATGTGTACCCCCCCTTACCCTCCTACCCCGCTAGCGCCGCGTGGTATGTTTTCTCCATCTCCCTGCCTCTCCTGTGATGTGGGCTAATTAAATATTTTATTGTTGTTCTTTAGGCACCGCATCAGCCTGCTCAACCCTTTAAATTTACAATTTCCGAGTCCTGTGATCGGATTAAGGAAGAGTTTCAGTTTTTACAGGCTCAATACCACAGGTAAAGATATTGACTTTAGCTGATCCTCCTGTTTGCTTAAGTCTTGTCTTACCTCCCCCCCCCGCCCACGCTGTCCCCTACACACACACACACACACACACACACACACAAATATCCCCCTCCCCGGGTTTTTTTTTTTTTTTGGTGTGTGTGTGTCTGTGGTCACCACAAAGGCATTATGATCATTTTTCCTTGTGGGCAGAAAGGGCAAGTGAATGCCTCTTTTTCTTAAGCAGGTGTAAAGAAATTAAGCGCTTTTCTCTTCTCTGGTAAATTAAAAAAAAAAAAAAAGGCAGAACAGTCGAAACTGGGGAGACTTGGAAAACGCTGAGGCCAAACTTTCGATATTGATTTATTGGGGCCGGGAGAATGGAAGGTTGGGGAGATTCTGGGGCCTTTTGACTTCCTTGGCTCTTCATTACTCCTAGCTTGATTCCTCCTCCTTTCTACCGTTCACCGAAATACCATGAGCTGAGAGCCCTGGGAAGTCACAATTGAGCGATTTCATTACTTTTATGCTGAAAAATATTTTTTGTTTTAGAAACGATCAGTAGTCTTAGGGTGTTTTTGAAATATTTTTCTTTAACTGGCTTTTTAGTGACGTGTAATTCTTATTTCATAAATGTGAGAACCAAAACAAGCCACTGAACCCAGTCTATACTTTGCCCCTGGGTGGTGGTGTTCAACTTATCTCTGTTTTGGAGGGAAAAAATAAGACATCATTCATAAGACGTGCTTGATTCATATTTTCATTAATCTCTTCATGGAACATTAAAGAAAAAACTCCCTTGTGACATTTTGGGGGTCTTATTTGTGCGAATATGTAGACATTATTGATATTTATTCTAGTTCTCATTACGTGAATTTAGTGACTATTCAAGTCTGAATGAGGTTCCAGAATTAAATTGGCTGGAGAGTTTTATTTATTTATTTTTTCTTAAACAAAAAACCCCACATTTGTTTCTCATTGAATGGACAAGTCCAGGCTGCGCCCAATCACCCCTTTTCTCTCCTGCCTTTCCTTGAATAATGAGGGTGGTATTTAAGATAATTGACTTGGTGTTTTGTAGGTGATGATTTAAAGGAGTGAATGTATATTTACATTTAAAGGGTGTAAGTCAAGATCTTTGTTGTGCTTAGATTTCCTTCTGTCTTGAACAGCCTGAAGCTAGAATGTGAGAAACTGGCCAGTGAGAAGACGGAGATGCAGCGGCATTATGTCATGGTAAGAAAACTGTGTCATAGATTCATAGGGTCTGTTAGTTTGGGATACCGAAAGCAAGAATGCCTTCAGATTGCCTGAGGCTGTGGGATAGGTGGCAGTGGCAGTGGCAGTGCAGTTGAGGTTGTGGGAATGGGACTATTAGCAACCTGTAATTCCAGGATATTACGACTTGCTCTGACAACTAGCCTTGCTTCGAATTTTCAAAAAGTTCAGCTGCATGGGGTATAATTTTCTTTGCTTTGTGTTTATAGATTGAAAAAAAAACAAAACCTCATTTATGTTTTGTTTAGAGTCACAAGCAAAATGTTTTTGTGCTAGTGGTTTTCTTTGTTGTTTTATTGCTTTTTTGCTCCAAACAATTTTAACCAGTTTTTCTGGAAATTAACATTTTAACATTTTATTGCTTTTAAAGAATGATGGATAACAAAAGACTCTAGTTACCTGTTTAACCCCCCCCCCACTGTTACCTTACCTAGTGTGTGTGTATTCATGTATGTGTTGTGCATTTTCAGTTTCTGTAGTGTTAACATTGGTTTGATGAGTATTGTCCTCCCCTGTATAACTGCATTTCTGTCATGTTGGTTATACTACATGTTCAAAAAAAAAATCAAATCCGCTTTTCCAAAAATATTACCAGGCATGTTTTTATGCTTGTTCGTAAAGGCCCCAGAGTAACTCGTTCATTTCCTGTCAAGCCTTTTTCCTTTGAATGTGTGAACATTAGCAGTACACTACATAGGACAAACTGAACTCTGAAGTAGCATCACCTTTTTGAGCAGTTCTTTCAAAGCATCTGCATTTGTATGGGGCACATTTTGGCCTTTAACTTGCCTGCTGTGCCTAAGAATTAGAGTTGCTGTGGTTCTAAATTTTCATCAGACCTTTTTCATTCACCTACTTGGGATGTATAAAGACAACTGAAGATGTTTAGTATGCTGCTTGGTTTGAACTTGATTTTCTTAGATTTGTGAGCTATTCTCTTAGGGTCTGTGTCTTAAGGTGGTTCTAGTTTATTAGGCTGAGATAGTGGTAGAATGTTTCTTATTTAACAGCATAGGTATTAGGGATATTTTGGTTTAGGTGAAGTTTTTATGTTTGCTTTAAACATACGTAGGGGCATTTTGAACAAACAAGGGTGATTGTTTGATGAAAGGCACAAAGTTAATTGCTTTTTCTTCTTTGACAGTATTATGAGATGTCCTATGGGTTGAATATAGAAATGCACAAGCAGGTGAGTTATTTACTTATAACCATTTTAAATGGCAGTTTAGAAAGAAAGTTGTATGTTTTGCAGTTTTATCCTGTACATTTTTGTAGCTACATGTATTTTAAAAGACTCTACTGAAAATGATACTTTTTCAGATGTGTTTTTTCTGTCTTTTCTGCTTATTATCTTAATTTTAATCACTTAAAAATGCGATTTAAAATGTCTGAAGGCATATTCAACTTTGTGCATTTTCAAAACCAAGAACCTAACTTTTAAAGTAGGTCTTATTTTTTCTTTTGAAAGTTAATTCATGTATTTTGGGCATTGTAAACTTGTCTTAAGAAAGAGCTTTTCTTGAAAAATATTAAAAAGGAAAGCTAAATTCATTGACTCAGTGTAAAAGAATGGATCCAGGGTGAGCTGGGAGAACCAAAATGAAATCTGTGGCACTACAAGGGAAATAGATGTAAAACCCTTGTACTGGTCCCCCTGAGGCTGTTTGGTTGGATCTTACCGGAAACTACAACTGTTACTTCCCAAAATTTGTACAGAGTAAATGAGCCTGATAGGAGGATGTGATAAGGTTCAACGCTGGGACTGGGTCTTGATATCTGTTAATTAAATTAGTTCAGCCAAAAAAGAAAAAATAATTGTTAGTCAGAAAGCATTGAGAGGTATTATTCAAGCAGGGCCCCCCCCTTTTTTAAGGAGGCTGAATAAAATGGCTTAAGTTTCCTAGATGGAAAAATAGCACATATATATATAAACCGTTTGGCAATAATAATTCCTCTAGGAGGCATTCATGTTTAGTGATCGCTTAGTGAACGAGCTTCAGGTTTGTCTCAGTCATTTCAGAATGGGTGTGTATGTGTTTACCTGCTGGGAAAAGACCAGGGAAAACTTAATGCTTTTTATCTCTTATTATACTCTTGGTGAATGTCATTGCCTTTTAAGTTTAAAAAATATGAAATGATCACGTATTATTATGTTTTTCCTCCTTATGGAGTTCTTTTTGGATGTGGTTCATTACCATGTACTCAGAATATACTCAGTAGAGCTCTTCAAGATGACTGTTGAGACAGTAAAAGGGATCAGATAGGCAGTATTTAGAAAAGTTGGGGAAGAAAGGAGTTGTTGCATACACTGAGGAGTTTTTATTTTCAGTTTTTTTATACTTCATACATTATTCGGTTATGTCAATATTAACATTACTATATAGTTTGCTGTGTGTTAAAGTTAAATTCTTATTTGGGCATCTTTGCCATTTCTGTTTAGATTAGTAATGTAAATATTTCCTGCTTAAGCAAAATCCATCAAGCTTATGGATGCACTCACCTTAGCTTTACCTTATAGGAATAAATTACATGAGAAGGTACTGTTTGTTAATTATCCTCATTAAATGTCACTTTAGGTCTGGATCATGTACTTGTCTTTTTTGTTCTCACCCCACCTCTCAAGATTAATTGGTTGCCTTTTTAAAGATTGGACAGATGATTAACGTCCCTTTATTTCTTCTCCTGTATCTTATTTACCATAGCCAGTTACCTTCCAGATCTCTTTATACAATTTACAGGATGCACAGAATTGATAGATTTGGCTAAATGTAATTTTTTGGTGGCGGGCCATATGGGATCCCTTAATTTTACACATTTTGTCCTTCTGTAATTCTGTCATCTTCTTGTCCAGCCGGCCTCAAATGCCATCTATTTAAAATTGAGAATGGAGTACATTTTCCCTTCTTTTCTCTTGCTTTTAAATTCAATCATATCAAGAATCCTGAGGGCAGTTTATCACATTATGAAATACAGACAGCCCTGCAAACCACCTACTTATTATATTTTCTTTCTTTTCCCCCTTAAGCGCAGAGGCATATCTGTCTTTATTTGTTTTCCCAGGCAGACAGCCTTGGTTCCTCTTGGCCTCTCTTCCAGATGCACTGGCTGGATACCCTCGTAATGGAAAGCAGCAATAATGCAGGGAAGTTACCCTGCGGCATAATTGGGCCTAGTTCTCCAGATCCGGTTAGGCTTATTCACTTATTAGATTTATGTCTCTGAAGGGTTCAAGAGTAGGAGTCCCCGGAGTCCTTGGAAGTACCCTAGTAATTGGTGGCCCTGATATTTGAAACCTTTGTGTATTTTTTTGGTTAACGCTCCTGTTCTTCCTGGCTGCTGCCAGCCACAGAGTATTTATTTTTAGAGAAATTTTTCATTGAAACAGAAAATGATGGCTGTGATGGAGTCATGACTCTGTGACTTAGCAAATTGATAAAAGGATAAAAGCACAGAGCAGTGACAAACAGGGTCGGGGGTCTGGCATTATGGCCCCTCCCCTTTCTGTATGCTGCTCATCATCAGTCACCCTGTGTTGATTCTGGTAGAGGACTATAAAGTGAAACCTATGGGGAATTTGTCATTCTGAAATGAAAGCTAATGTAATTAGTACCAATTAAAGTACATTTAGTAAATTGGATTTAATCTTAATTAAGCCTGCATAATGTTGCCAATTTTTAACAATTATGTTTGAGAACATAATTAATTTAAATTTTGGTAACTGAGTAAATAGCATTAGTCTAGTAGAATCAGTTGAAATTATTTTTTAAGGGGAACTTGGTGACATGACATGGAATTAGAGCATAAAATATGAATCAAATTTCTGGTCATCTTTGGTAGGATCGATAGAGCTGAACAGATGAAGCTGGAAAAAAACCCCAGAAAAGTTAGGGGAGGAGTGTTCTAGGCTGCAGTGTGAATTAATACTTCACCACTGTCTTCAGTTCTAGGGCGAAAGTGAAGGTGACAAATGGAACATGGTTAGAGATGGCACATGTTTTATTGTGATGTCTTTATGATGGAATTTTTAAAGACAGAAGAACATTGGCCTTTATTCCCTAAGGATTTTCCTAAGTGTGTCTTGTTTTGGATGGGGTAGTTGACCAATCCTTTAGTTGCCACTTTTTTTAGGCTGATTCTTCTTTATAAATACAGTGTGGCTTCTAAATGGGTCAGTGACCGTGGGTAGAACAGGGTGATGCATGCGGTTGATAACATTGCTAAACACCGCTTGTTCCCAGCCTTCACCTGTAATGCTGTAATTACAGAAGACTGCCCTGATTTAATCTGACAGCAGTAGTTACCTCTTTAAAAAGCAAATATTGGATACTGATTAGGAAAAATAAGTAGTGTGTGAATTCAGCCTGTAGGAATTGTAAATGGAAATGAACAAACCACATTTTTTTAGAGCATTTGACTCACTCATAGTTCATAGTCTGTAATTTGAGGCTCTTTTGCTTCTTAAAAAACAGCCTAGCTGAATTTTAGAAATTAGAACATTTTAGAAATGTGCAACACTTACAACCTAAAAGAAGTGAGCACTGTATGTTTACATACATATGGGTATATAAATGCATATGTGTGTGTATGCATGTACATGTGTATACACACGCATACAAGTATTTTTTAAAATCAGAGCGAGAAAACCCCTGTTTCACTTCAAGCCATGTAAATTTCATTATGAGATTTGGGCCACAACCATTTGAGTGCTGCTAAAATATTAATTGAATAGAAATGAAAGGGCCTTGCCAACTGATAGGATATCATAATCGTAGCCTCTCTGGTCGATGGTAAATGATGATAAATGACATTAGGAACCTTTTAGCAAACTGTAATAACTACAAGGAGGGAAGCAGTATGGATTTGCATTATATCTGATACCCTCTAGTACCAAGTGGATTGCCAATACTGCTTGTTTAGCATTTTCTAAGGGCAATAGGATATTGATTTCTGACTTACAAGGAACAGCTCTATTTTCACCATTGAAAAGTATTGCAGGTTGTTAAGAAGAAATTGACTTGAAGAGGCCGACTGCTGCCCATCATGGAGCAAATAAAGCAAAACTGCCGAAGCATGGTGGAGCAGCGAGTCGGGCCCTCAGCAATTTGTTGCTATTAATTTACCATGCTCGACAGCAAATCAATCGGCATCTACTTCATCTGCTGGAGAAAATGCTGTCCAGGGCAGATAAAAGGCTCGGCATGGTAAAGAGAATAGACTGGATTGGCCAAAAGGAGGCTGCAGTTAATGTGTAAATAAGTGAAATCAAGGCCACAGTTGCAGAGGAAGCTGTCGTTAATTAGGTTGGTGCTTTTTCGGGAACTATTTTAGAAAGCAGCCGAGGATTTGGAGAGTGGGAGGAGATTTATTGAGGTTGAAGTAATATACGACGGGCATGACATCCCAGCCTTGAGTGAACTTGCTTCTGGGGTGCAGTAAATTTATTTGGGGACAGTGCTTACAATGGAATTCAGTTTGTTTAAAGTTCTGTTTAGACCAGATTTCCCGTAAGAACTTTTCTTTTGAGCATTACTGATTTTTGTGCACAGCTCCTGTCTTGGGTTGTATATGCTTAGATTTGGAGGAGTAGGTGCAGGAGTAGGTGTTTGAGAATGTAGGCAAAAATGTGTCTGTTGTGTTCTTAACACAGTGATTTTTTTTTTTTAGAAATGGATGTGATTTAGACATTTAGAAATGTTGTATAATAATGAAAATGTATCATTAAAGCGCAGGTGTTCTATCTGAAAGTAGTAAACCAATGACCATTTTGCCGAGAGAATTTTCTTTTGCTGCGTAAACACTGGGGAATAATCTATAGAGGGACTGAACAGTGGGTGGACACTACTGGATTGGAAATCCAAGAGGGATTATAAGTGAAATTTTGATGATTGTGCAGAAACCCTCCAGGTACAGTTAGGTGACCAGGTACATGTGTGATGGGGGATCATTTTGGTTTCTGTGTTTCATTAAGGTTTAAAGCCACCTTTTCTAATTTAAGGTTACTCATGCTTTGATAACATCCCACAATTAATATTAACCAAGTGGAAGTTATTGTTGGTGTTTTTGTCTCCCAGCCACTCTGATCTGGACATTTTGGGACTAGGGAGACTACTTCAGCCCTGTTGAGTAAATCTAGATACATGTACATTTTAAGTTACGTTTTTTTCAAAACTGTGAGAGAATCTCGTAGTA